ACTGTCTGTTGGCTATGTTGTTGAAATATAAGAACAGGACAGGTGAAAATAAACAATTAGATCTGATGAAATTAAATTAAGTTTTATTCAAATATGCAATCAGGAATGTTGAAATTAAATTTAAAAAGGTTTAATTATTTTTCTGTTTTTTCACTCTTTTTTGTATGTGATTTTTTCGTACCACTAGTTTTTGAACAATCTATTGAAATAAATCAGTACCACTGCTTCATTTATGAGTTAATTATACTTTATTATGGAGCCGAATCACCGGTCACTCTTATATTTTTTCGAATATTTAGTTTTGCTGACATTATCGAAAAGCAGTTTTATTCACTTAATCGAGAACAAGACTTTTTCCAGTAAACAATTTGTCTTACTCATTTGTAAGAAATTGATGTTGCTCTATTATCAAACCGTAGCAAACAGCAACTTCAAGACTCCTTCCCTTCTGGACCATTTCCCCGTGGTAATGCATTTGCCTTTGCACCCTATGGGCTGGAGTCAGAGTCCCGGCCGGACCTTGTATTTTTTTTCAGTGAATGATCTGGAATATTTTGGACTGGAAATTGAATAGTCTGACTTTTTTGTAGACTTATGTTTTGTCGGCTTAGTTGCCATCACGGATTTTATTTTGCGCTGTATGCAGTTTTTATTGTAGTTTCAAGTGTCGTTGATTAAATCCTGTAGCTTGTGATTTTGCTATCCCTGACTGGTACTTCAATAATTATGTTTTTCTTTTTTTTTCCAATTTATTTTAAAAAAATTGATGCAAAATAGCTTTTTGTAGACTTTTGTAGACTTATGTTTTGTCGGCTTAGTTGCCATCACGGATTTTATTTTGCGCTGTATGCAGTTTTTATTGTAGTTTCAAGTGTCGTTGATTAAATCCTGTAGCTTGTGATTTTGCTATCCCTGACTGGTACTTCAATAATTATGTTTTTCTTTTTTTTTCCAATTTATTTTAAAAAAATTGATGCCGTTGAATTGATGCAAAATAGTTTTTCTTAACCGAAAAAAATGAGTTGAAATCATTTAAGCCGAAGAAAATTTCTTAGCGTATAAAAAGATAAAATATTTCGATACCAGTCAGGGTTAGCAAAATCACACCCCAACTGGTATCGAAATATTTTATCTTTTTTATACGCTTAGAATTTTTATTCGGCTTAAATGATTTCGGCTCATCTTTTTTTTTGGTTAAGAAAAACTATTTTGCATCGGTTTAACGGCAAAAATTTTACAAATAACTTGGAAAAAAAAGAAAAAAAAACATGATTATGAAGTATAATTCAATTCTAAGATGTTTTTTTCGACGTATTTATTTCCATCTCCTTTTCTATTTGGTTGCCTTCCGTTGTATATAAGTGACGCAAACCTCCGCTTTGCCTGTGAGTTGAAAGTCGTATTTTTATTGAAAGTCAGTTTGCCATCAAAATTTGCTAATAAACGTTCATTTTGTTTACTGTTTGCACGGCAGCATGTTTCCCTAGATTTTTTTCAGGATCTCTTTTGTTTTCTCTCTATGTATAAGTTTTTGACTGCTGAAAATGAAAAGGAACAACTGATTCAGGTTTATCTTCAAAGGAAAGTCAACTCCAGAAGAACTTCAGTTGGTATCGTGCGATGAATTAGAGTAAAAAATCTTCCAGCTCTGATTGATCCATATTTAGTAATTTCGGAAGTGTTTCCCGGTGTTTTTGCGCTATCAAAGTTAAAGATGCTAATTTGTCTTAGCTGTAGATTAAAGATGCTAAGTTGTCTGGGGTCGGAACCCTCTTTTCTTCTTAATAGACTGGCCAATGATAATGTCAAGCTTAGCGTCATCTGATTTTAACTAGCAAGGGATAAGCTAGCGATAGGCAAGGTCTTTGTAACCGGGTACTAGATTTTCCCTCCGTATTAACTTTGTTCACAGGATGACTCAAATTGATGGTCTCCTGCAAATCTGTTTTTCGTCTACTAACTGACAAGTTTCGAGTATGTCTGCATTTTTTCCTGTTCATTTCGTTCATATTTTGTTTAGGATGTTGGTTATAAATTTACCAACTCAGATTTCAGTTTTTCTTTTTTCCCTTGCTTCCTGCTTAAAAAGTTTTCTTGACCTAACGGGCTCTCTTCGAGTTCTTCGATCAGCAAAAAAGGTTTAATTAAATGAATTTTTTGAGTTTCTTGTTTTTTTAAACGTTTTTTCGGCTAACGTGTGTATGCTTAAGTCTTGTCGGCTTTCTTGTGAATTTCGTTTCAATCCCTAATTAGTATTCAGTTGTCTTTCTTGGCAAATTTTGTTTTCGGACGAACTTCATTTAGACTAAATCAAGACAAAGATATGAAAATTTTGGTAGATAACTCTTTCGTCTCAAAATCCGTCGGTTAGTTTGCTATGTTTTTTTTTGTACTGTATGACAAGTTGTGTGAAGCTTCGCTTCGCCTCTATGTAAACATTTTTCTATTTGGGTATGTTGTTTTCTTGCGTACCTACGTACCACAAACAATCATCAGAATGAGTCGAGTGATATGTCGTTTTACGGACTTCTTTACGGACTAGTTTCCGTCGCTGTTTAGAAATTACCAAAGAAATCTCAGTTCTGAGATTAACCAGATTGTTATTTTTCATTTTAATCCAATTTAAAGCAAATAAATCGAGTGATTAGCTGTTAACATATGAAAAACATTGTTCGGCGTTTGAAGACAAGGTTTTACTCAAGTTTTTGAAGCTTTCCTCAGGTTTTCTCTGCAACCGAAAAATGAAAATTGCCAACGAAAAAATCAGAATATTACGATCATTTTGTGCCAGTATTTTAAACATTTAAAAAATATATAAATCGTCGAAACGGCTCAGGTGAAATTGATGACGCCCCCTCCCCAGAAGGAGCCAGAGTTAATCAAAAAATTGTTTCAGTCATCTTATTTTTACCGAGCTGATTTTGGCTTAAATGGTGCATGAATTAATGTTTAATCAAAACATTTGTTTCATTTGAATTTGAGTCATTCCGATAGTTGCTGTCATTTGAGTTTTCGAAATTCCAGACAGCAAAAACTTGGACGACCTTGCGTGATTAATCAGTTTTTTTGAGACATATTTTTTGTACAATTAAAAATTATTGTAGATTTTTCCTTTTGTCCTATTTTACGGCTTCCGTAAAAGGAATGCTGAACGGGATTTTTTTTCTAATTCGGTGGACGCGGTTATTCGTCTTCCGACCACTTGGTGGCAAAAAATTTGTCTTCTTGTGTTTCATTTTTTTCCTGCAAATAATCAAGTGATTATTAGAATCAGTCGAGTGATATATTATTTTAAAAACCTTTCAGTCGTGAGTCGATCGACATTTAAAAGTTACTTGATAATTTTCTCTGTCGAGAAAAAATGGTTTGTAGTCTTTGAGCGAATAAAGCGAGCGAGCAGGCTTATAATAGTGCGATAAGCTTTCATTGGACCGAGAAGTGAAGACTTAGTAAAATTAGTTTTTACCCTTGCAATAAGCAAGGGCATTGCAATCGGTTATTAGACTTTTTTCTCGTAAACATTTTTGTCCACAGGACTCATTTCTGGACTCTTTCACCTTTTCCTCCTCTTTGCAAATTCTGCTCCTCTTGGTTGCAAATATTAATCCTGGTTTAGCTTGTCAGTTTAAAGATCCGTCATTTTCAAAATTTGCTTTTTATGTTGGTTGTAATTTTTCCCACTCGATTTGTTAAAATTTTTATTTTTGTGTCCTTTTTTCGGCTTAATAGGCTTCGGTCTATTTTATAAGGGCTTAATGGCCTAATTTTAAGTAGTTTCAAGGTAAACATATTTTTTATGCTCATGTAAAATGCTAAAAATCTTATTAGAAATTATTGTTCAAGTTTTTCATGACAATTTTTTTCGTCTTGTTTTTTTTTCTTTTTTTTTCGCCTTGATAAGTTTCGGCGTGTGATATATCGTTGAATGGCTGCATTTTGCACCTTTCGATGTGCAAAAAAATTTGTGTGTGCGTGTCTGTGTTTTAAGGGAGAGGGGGACTTAATACCTTATTTGTCTTAAAACTTGAATTTTCTTTGTGCTTTCTCTTTTCCTTTTTTTTCGGCTTGATAGGTTTCGGTCTATATCTCCTAGTGTAATGATTTTTTTGTATGGTTGTTTTTTTTCTATCTTTCCATGGTTTTTGTGATCAGGAGCCGATTTACGGAGGGGGAGGGGACCTCAAGTATTCAACCCTCATCAACCAAAGGGTCCTTCTTTGGTACTGTTTTACGGTGTCCGATTTCGGTCGACCGACCCCAAAGTTTTTCTTAAGGCGCATTTGGCGCCAAACAATTTAAAATTTGAGAGTTGAAAGCACGGCGAAAACACGATTTTTTTGGTCAAAACCTACCAAAAAGCATAAAAATTTTTTTTGCCTGTTTTAAATAAGAGGTGCATTATTTTCACGGTACTGTCGCCACAATCATAATTTTTTTGGTCTAAGACAAACAATTCAACCAGGAGTTTAAGCAAAATTATCCTGAAGGCTGAGTCCAACAATTCTGTCAACGGGTCCGGGGGGGGGTCCTTTTTGTTGGTGAACGTGTCAAATGCCTTCTTGCGTTATTTTTTTTGGAACTGCGTATTCTGAGTTATCTGATATTAGAATTACTAGAATTAGTATACTCAAAAGGTGTATACAATAATTAATTCGCCCATATTGACGCGAAATGTTTTTTAAAAAAAAGTGTCTTAAAATAGCGGCAAAGAGAATGCCTTTGAATGGTGCGTGGGGGTATTGAGTGTTCGATTCTGGGGAATTGGCAGGAAAATTTTTTGATAACTCGTAAGGACTCTTTCGAGCTTTTTTGCTCGAAGCTACAATTTTCTTTCATTTTTCCAGGCAAGAAGTGAGTATTTCTAACGTACTCAGCAAAAGTTTAGTTCGAAATCATAATTTACTGCGTTGAGACTGATTTTCTCATCGTTGTTTGAAATGAAGCTAGAATATTTCTTACCGTTTCGTTCTGGACTGTGTTTTTTTTTGTGCCGTCTGAAATTTTCACTGTCTGAATCATCTGATACGTGTTTTGCGTTCTGAAATTGAAACCGGTTGAAACGCGTAATGATTTTTTCATCATCTTCTGACCTAATTCTTTGATCGTATTCCAAACAGACTTGTGACGTCACACATTTCAAAGTCATTCACGTTTCAAAAATTGAACTCTTCGAAGCTTTCAAAACATGTCGAAATCATATGGAGTTTATTCAAAAATGTTTGCGTTTATTTTGTTTTGATTGAAAGCCCCGACCGAAGCAGCCTATCCTTATTGTTTATCCTCGATTAGAAAGAGCCCTGCTGACTACATTAGGAGTGCTGATTTGGGTCGGTCCCGTGTTTTCAGACCTAATGTTGGTTCACGTGTTTTGGGGGACGAGGCTTAGGACGTCTTAAAACATGTAATGTGTATCGAGCACGTCCTATTTGATCGGTGATTAAGTCCACACCTTGAATTTCCGGCTGATTGCAGGTAGTTACAGCTGATTTATTGTTGTGAAATTGTCAATGATATTTTCATTGCAAAGCAAACTTGACGAATTTAGTTTAGAAAACTTGAAAAAAATTAGAAACTGAAATTTAGACCTGCCAGATAAATCCTGTCTAATCCGAGTTCTATGTTTTGATTGGCTAGAATAAATGGCTGGCAATTACCTCAACTGGCTTGGCTAATTTATGATTTTGGTTTTGTAAGAAAGGAGCTCATTTTCAGTTCAAATTCTCCTAATTGTTTGGCCAACTTGAAATCAAAACACAGTTTCACCTCTCTCGCTGTCGTCTTTTTTGAACCTACCTTGTAAAAATAGATTTATGGTGCTCGATGTTCGGCTATTTAGCACAGGGTTGAGATTTACAAAGAGAGAAGTGATTTATATAAAAGTTGTTTAAAGTGCAACTTAAATTCTCTCAAATTAAGTTTCTGCTGCCCAGTTTGTGTTTAAGTTGCTCTCTTCGCTGTCATTTGAAAGCCAGTATTTGTCGCCAGCCAAGTCATAAACTGGTTGCCAAACCCTTTGATTGTAAAACAAAGCTAATTGCGCCCTATTCCCCCACAGGTTATTTATTTTTTGTGGCTCGTAAAACAACTTCAGCCCAACCAGGTTTATTTTCACTTGTCACGCAGTTCCTCAGCAAGGCAGCAATACATACCATATTACGGCCCGTCGATTCATTTCGTCTTAGCCCAAAATTGGACTCTGAATTCTCATTTTGAAAATTCTGCTCCGAGACGTTTCTCAAAATCCCGCAAGTTGTTCAAATTATCAAGTCAGTCGGAAAAAGTAGCAAGTCAATATTCTGGAGTTTTACACAAACTAAGAGTTAGTTGTGACTTTTGCTGAAGGTAATTACCATTTTGAAAGCGAAACAATTTCGTCGAAAAACAATTTCTTCAAAAGGTCAAATTTTTATTTCAAAATTCAATTTTAGAAAAAAATTAGTTTGACCCTTAATTAGTTTGAAGTAATCGGGTCAGTGAAATTTAATAATTCTGATAGCAATTATTTGCGAAGGTTGTATGTTGAAACCATTATTACTACACTTCCTTTGATATTAGTCAGTGCTCTTAATTCGGAAGAAAAGGTTCATTTAGTCTGTATCCGAAACCCAAACGAAGCTCATTATCAGTCTAATAAACCAAACGCAAACACACCAAACGATTGATTTCTATATTTGAATCCACCCTTTAAATATTCTTATCTCATTCACAGTTTAGAATTTGTTCAAATCATCAAAGAGTTTACGAGTTTTTTGTTGGCACCATCGTACGACCAGCATATTTTCAGGAAGTTATCGCTATCTTATTTATTCATTTGTAGTAGTATCTTTATTACTACTCGAAAAGCTATTCAGACGAAAAAAAATACACAAAAAATCTACTTATTTGAGTCAAGTTATCTGGATTTGTTTTGCGTCAAAAATAGTTTGTTTGTAACATTGGACGCAATTCGGACCAAACTATTGTGTCTCAGCTGGAAAAAATAGCGTGATTTGATAATGCGTCAATTTTTGTTGAACTACTAGAAAAACAAGGCAGTATTTTCGCTTTCATCTAACCGCACTTCAATCAATAGATTTAAACTCAGAAGTCGCTTTAAACCCAAGCATTTTTTCCTCTCCACTATTACCTGGCCGCAGTCCCTCCATTAGCCATTTTCTCCTCCGCAGCTTCAAAGCCCAGTTTATGACTCTGGATTTATTTTTTCATTAGTTACGATTCACTCAGAAATGAAAAGACACTACAGCCAAATACTACAACTGCATCATATAATTCAGCCGACCTGCCGTCTTTAAAAGGAATCAACCGACAGACGCATCATTAATCATTGTTTTTTTTTATCCCTGTTATTTAGTATTTGATCCTACCCTATTGCTATTGTTTGGTTGCCGCAACTGGAATATTTGAATATTAATCTGGAATTTCCCACCAATCCGTGTATTAACTCATCCTGACAAATCTCCGCTTCTGAAAGCAGATACGTCATTGTTTCTCCAAACCAAACGGAATAGATTAACCGCCTCTCATTCTTTTCAAGCTTGCCTTGGAGTTCGAATAATAAAAAATTGCAAAAAATACTAATTGAAAAGAATTACGTTTTTAAATAATTCTGTAATTGATACCTCTTGAAAGAAGTTGTACAGATTCATTTGTTATTCAGAGAATCATTGCGTAAGTTTGCATTTACATCGCGGCGGTAGAATAATACAGCCAATTACACTGGTCGAGTAATTTGAAAAATTCGACGCTTTTTAAGTAAATTCACAAATTCTATACTTTAATATGTACTTTGAATCTTCTAATATGTGTACCAGTATACACCAGCAGAACTGCTGCAAATCATCGAATCCAAAGACATGCCGACAATTAGATTCGTCAGGGAGTCGGCGTCTCAAATCATACAGAAATGCGAAATACTTCAGATGGGACACAAAGTTTATTCACATGCTTTTCTTCACCTTATTTCTAGTTTTATTATCGTGTCCGCAACTGGCATCAGCTTTCACAGCTGAAACATTCGAGGAACACGCACACAGAAAACACGTAGTGTTTGTCCAAGGAGCTGATAAGTGGACAGAACAGTCTGAAGCGGAATGCCAATACAGATTCGAGTACGAACGGTGGCCATGCGACCTAAACGACCACCGGGACATCGTGACCGGAAACAACAAATCGGTTCTCCAAGGAACCAAAGAGGCGGCATTTGTCCAGGCTCTGACAGCCGCAAGTATTATCCACACATCCCTAAAGCTTTGTTTCGATGGAACTGAAGGTGTTGACTGTGACTGTAAAGAGGAAAACGAGAACCGTTACGAAGGTTCGAGTTCGGTGGAGGCGGGGGACGTGACGAATACATTTGTTCTTTGCAGCGAGCATTACATCAAGTACGCCACCAGGGTATTTGGCAAGTTTCGAATGTCATGGCTGCAGAATAAAGAGGAACCCGAGGACTTCATGATCATGCACAACTCGGAGACCGGACGCCGAAGTTTGATCAAGCGCAAATACGAGAAGTGCAGTTGTCATGGCATGTCGGGATCCTGCAGTTCCAAGACTTGTTGGCAGGAATTGCCTCAGATGAGACACATAAGTGCAGTTCTAAAGAGCATTTACAACAACGACAGGAACAGCGTGAAAACATTGCTCCATACACAAACAGGAGTGAAACACAAGTTGTTGACCATCGATAGCAGAATGATGCCGTCCAAAAACGCGCTGGTATTTATCGAAGATTCCCCGGATTATTGTGGGTACATGCATGAAAGGAATTGTTCCAAAATTATCCCCCCGCATTACGAGCAGGAAAATATACCCGACTGGGAAAAAGAACACAGATCGAGACTGATGAAGTCGTGCGATAATTTGTGTTCGGATTGCGGTTACGACGTGTGGGAACGACAAGTGAAGGTTTTGAACACGGAGTGCGAATGTGTTTTTCACTGGTGTTGTACCGTGAATTGTTCCAGTTGCGAAGTTGACCGGACGCTTCACTCTTGTAGAAGTCGGACACCTATTACACTAACCCCTTAACAAACTCAACAGACAGACAGACATTTTTATCTCCTCCAATTCGACAATTGAATTGCTATTGCAACCCCAAGCTTGAGTCTTCTCATCATAAATCGCAGTAGACTTTCTTCTAAAACTCTAAATGCTCTTTAATAAATAGCTTTCAATCTTTAATGCCATCTAAATTTTGGTCATCAAAAAGCAAAATTTTCTGACACATTTTCTGCGAACTTTTAAATATAGTCCAATTCGTGCGTTGGCCCCATGTTGAAATTAGGTGGCATTATCATAAATCACAGAAACAGCAAATGTGCGATATTTAACTGTATCTAGTTTTTAAGGCTTTGTGTCTATTTTTTGTTTGTCTACAGTGTTGAATGATTTGCATTTAGTGTTTTTATGGAGCAGCGACTTAAAGAGCTCAAAAGATTTGTATGTCGCGGTATGGCTGAAAATCTAGCCTCTTGCTTTAATCTGATGAAATCATCATTGATTTTCCTTTCGAGTATATATTTTTGTACTAATTTCCTTCACTAAAAGTCTGAATTTATGGCTCAATGTCCTTCGCAGATTGTGCAATTTCCAAGCTACACAGATTTAGAATCCATAGAATGTTAAATCGCAAAATATGTGCCAAAGATTCGATCTGGCACCGTTGGGTTGTTGTTTAAAGTTGCTTCCAGGAAAGCCAGTGTCTTCCTAAAGGAAGGGAGGGAGCGTAATAAAGTTTAGCCCCAAGAATAAACTGATTCGATGAAATTTGTAAATAGTTGAAAGTTGTAGCATGAATTTAATTTTCATTTTCAAATTTAGATATTCTTACTACTGTCTTTTAACTGCTGAGTTGACCGTGTATGAAACTTCTTGGCATTTTCCAAACAAAATTTGCAGACCAAACCCTACATCGGTTTTATGACACGTTTTAAAAAAGTCTCTTTTCAGTTCGAATTGGTTCTTTTTTGTTTATTTGTCCGGAAAATTACCTATTGTGCTTTATAAAAAAAGTTCTGATTCTTTATGGAGAAGTTATGGGGGCTTCAGTTTTTTACCTGATGCAATAAAATCAGTCGGATTTTGCACGGCAATTTTTTTTTGAAATTTTGTTTTAACCTTCTGAACCATGAGTCAAATCATGCATCTCTTGTTCCTTGTAGCATGCACAAATGATCAATGTGTCAGATCAAAAAGTGCTTCAGGCTCTAACCATGATAGTAGTTGAGGCGTGAAATAATTTTGCATTAAGACGACAGATACAGATACCTCAAAAAGTCTTATAGTTAGTTGGCTGGCTTTGGTACTAACTATCTCAGGTGCGCCGAAGGCAGAAAATCAATGCACTCCGAAATTATATACCAAGTTATACTGACTCGTTAATTTAACTCAACGCGACGCCTAATTAGCCCGAGGACAGTGTAATTGGTTGATTTAATGGCAAAAACCTTTTCGCACCTCGGCGCTAAAAGCTTTTTCACAAGTTTGTAAAAATTTGAGCTCGCTTTGTTGCGATTGTCTGAAAAGCTGCCATGCTGTGAACATTAAAGAATATCCGATTAAGTGGTCATGTTGAATGTATTTGAAACTGTGAGTTGAACTGTTGTGATTGAGTAATGAATGAAAAGAGTGAGTTGAAAACGATACTCAATAATCAAATCATTATGCAAAACAAAGGTGATCAGAGCTCTTTTAGTGCAGAAATCGAGTTGATGAACCTTTACCAGCGAGTTTATCCATACTATATAATTAAAATTTTAGGTCTACATAAGAGATGAACCATTATTATATGAACCATTTGTATTTTCGTACAAGAGGTTGATGGTTCGATTCTCGCACGAGATAAAATTTTTTAAACAATTTGATGTCGTTTTAGATGTTATTTGAATCGTTCGAAGTGTAAAACTCAGCGATGCAGCTTCTAGACGTCAAAATCATCCACATATATCTTCAATTAATATAGCATATTTAGAATTGTATAGCCAATGTCCTGTTTTCAGATTTCCATGTGAGATTTGGTTGACATATGTAGCTGATTTATATATCAAGCATCTTTCACCTAAAGTCCATTCATCTCATTGGGAACAAAAAAAAGTATTCTTGTCTGTCAAATACAAACCAAAGAAGGCGACTGTTTTCTGGATCGCATAAATTATGACCACCAAATCTGACTTCTGAGTGTAATATGAAGGCGCAAACAATAGCTAGTAGTAGTCTTATACCATCAGGTGAGTTCTTTAACCGATTGATCGGTTGACTTGGAGAGCCCAATTTAAACCCGAAGTGTTTGCTGCTCGTAATTGAGTTGTTTGTCTGAATTACTTGTTTCTGACGTTGCTCCGCCTGAATTATTTGCAAAGTAGCACTGTGTTTACTTTCAATCAGCACAGTTGTTTTTGAAAGATAAATTTCAATAGTTTTCGAATTATGAGCTGCCTTAGTTGTAATTGAAAGATCGTGATTGACAGGCGTGCTGTTTAAGTAATCAATTCAGGTGACATTTGAGCTGAACGATGAATGTTAAAATGATTAAGCACACTTTTGGTTTCAGTTTGGAGAGGTATAAAATTTGACAAATTTTTGAGCCAAAAGTGCGGCGATGTTGATGTTGTTTTTTTTACAAGAATTGCCGCAGATAAAGTAAAAACAAAAAGCCATCTTGCTTAGACGATGTGAAACTACCAATTTTTTAATTCCTAGGATTCCTTCAGTGGTAATGACTTCTTGTTTGGGTGGGGGTGCACCTACTGGCTTTTGGTTGATTAATTTTCAGATCAAACATCTGTTGCTATTGAACTTCTATATTGATCATTGCTTGGGTCTGCCGTATGAGCTGCTTCTAAATGCCCTACAATCAGCCGTATATGCCCCCCCCCCCCTATGTGACCTATCGGAGAGTCTCTACCTAGCCATGTATAATTTTCGAAAATTGTTTCCGTAGAAAATACTCATTTCAATCGAAAGCAGAAAATAAATTGGCGCTAAAATTTTTGACACGATTTGCGTTTAAGCATCTGTATACACTTAATGACCTTAATGATGATTATCTATTATTATTTTTAAATATACACACCTTAAAAATTTTTTGATAACAAAACTGTTATTGAATCGTTAAGACGACCTGTTAAATGAAGTAATTTATGCATTCCTAAGAAATTCTTGACTACTGGCAATCTGTGAAAAAATCTTAAGTTTTTCCTGTTGTTTATTATCAAGGAAATACTTACGTTATACTACGAGGTTCTGCAACATAAGTCAAACAATATTGCGTTCAGATTTTATGATCAATGTATTCTGTTAGTAAAGCGTTTTAATAACTAACTGGTTTTTGTTCCGACTTTCGAAAAAAGTGAGGACTATATGCTCGAAGTTGTTTTTGTTTTTACTCAGACAATTTCAAAAATAATTTTTGCTTCCTCGGCGATAGATCCCTAGTTCTGTGTGGGCCCAGCCGTGTGTGCACTATAGTGTCCTAACAGGTCCGTCTAAAGTGCTACGTTTTAAACTTTGATAGTATCAGCCTACAATTCATAGTTTTGCTAATATTTAGTTTACCAAAAACTATCCGAGATCAATTAAAGGGCAATCGGAACTGATACGAGCAGTATTGTTATTGTTAAGGAATGCTTACAATTGTTTCCGAGAAATCTTAATGCTCACGTTGAACGCTCAAACTTGATTTTTGATTTTTTCAAGTTCAACTCAATTTGATTTGCTTAATTGAAGGAATATCACACGCGGCACTTAGGCAATTGGACTTTTTGTGAAGAAACATTTGACATTTAGGATCGAAAAAGTTGATTTTTTCCCAGCGGAAAGACGAAGTTTTTTAGTGATCCAGTTTTCTCAAATTGAGTTAATTAATTGTAAAAAGTGACAGTGAAAGATACTTGAAATTATAAGAACTTCAACGTAATATTTTTTCTCCGAAAACTGTAAATTGGTCAACAATATCGGTTTTCTCGAGGTCATTGACATCTGTCCAACTATCTGTCAGCGACGTTATATTAACTTGTGTTATTAATTTCGATTTGCTGTTGATGTGAAATGAATTATTTGGTTGCCATGTTTCGAGTGTTAAATTGTCTGGGTTGTATCAAAGTGCGGTTTTGCCTGTTTTGCGGTGTTAAACTTTTGCGTCATGTACTCAAATGGACCCTTAAGTTATATTTTTAAGCACGTGCTTTGTTAATTTCTAAAAATTGGGAATGATATAGTCGATTGATATATCATATTAGAGATCTTTCAGTCGTGAGTCGAGGGACATAAAAATGTCTTCAAAAAGTTGTCCTAGTGTTGCGAAAAGCGAGTAAAGCGATCGAGTAGCGTTCGTTATATATCAAAGTTAACAAGAAAAGACACTAATTTGAAAAAAAATCCTTGTTTATACTTGTCATTAGACCACTGATTTCGCGCTCTTGCATTTATAAATATAATGCTTTTGATCGTTTGGGATAAATTAAAGCAATGATCGGCGACATAAAACTTGGATTGCTCAGTCATTCCAGCGTGAGCCCGTGGCCCAGAGGTTAGAGGTTCGAATCTAGTCAATTGCTTGATTTTTAGCTTTTTGTACAAAATTTTTTACAGCCTTTTTTTCTTAAAGATTTCAAAATATTAGCTGTTTCATTGCAGTGTGCGCAAAGTGCTGTTTCGTCTCTGTAATTTTTAATATCAAAAGGCCAATTTAACCCACTTAAAGTATCAATGAAATAGCTGGACGTATGTGGAGATATTGATCAAGAATATTTTTTACTAATCAAAGTTGATAAAAAATTTTTATAGGCAGGCGCGGATTTAGGGGTGGGGGTGGGGGCGGACGCCCCTCCTCCCCCTCGAACTCGAACCCCTGCCGACCCAAAGGGTCCCTCCTTTGAACTAATTTGAGATATCCATTTTTGGCTGACGGACCCTAAGGTTTTTCTAAAGGCGCCTTTGGCGCCAATATATACCAAATTTAAGGGGGAGCGCGCGCCGAAAAAACGAAATTTTTTAATAAAAAATTCCCAAAAAGTGCCTAAAAACGCCTCTTTGGCCTGTTTTTTCAAAGTTTTGCCTGCGGCCCAGAAATTTTGGCCAAAACAGGGACTTTTCAGTGCTTTGTAGCTCGGAATATCAATTTGCTCGACCTTAAAAAAAAGGTCGACAAAATTTCGAAATTTTTTTGAAAATCCACCCCCTTCGAGAAAATCCTAGATCCGCCCCTGATTATAGATATCCGTTCTGTAGCGCTGGAGATAAACTAACTGATATTTGATTGCTGGCATGGGGCTAGATTCCCGGTGCAAATTTTTTCTTCTTCAAACTATTTTTTTTTCTTTTTTTTAATTTTTCTTGGCTTCTTTTTTTTGAATCAGCTTTTACAACTTTTGCACTTTGATCAAAAATAAGTTTTCTTCAAATGATGGTATCCGTCAAAATTGAAAAAAAAATTCCAAAGTAACAAAAGATTTAAAAACTTTTCAAGGTCGTCAAGTTTAGCCCTTGATTCACTGATTTTATTAACGCATTTTGATTCAAACCCTGCTGAACGATTTTCTCAGGTTATGATTTACGAAGGTTATCTTCACACTAACGCACGGTTAGTCCCAGCCAGTCTGTTGCTTGTGGGCCATTCTGTTATTTTGAAGCCATTTGATACAGAATAATAGTGCGAGTTCGTCTTGCTCTGTGAATTTCAGAGATTTTTATGTCTTTGAGAGGCTTTTATTTTCTCGGCTGGACTTAATTTGATGACCGGGAGCTGGGAGGGAAGTTACGCAACTGTGGATCTATAGAGAAGGGTGACTCCCCTTCCCTTTTCTCGGCCCCTTCCCTGGAAAGACTAGTGATTTATGTGGGAAACGCCCAGTAGCTACTAGAATAACTACCCATTGGCAGTAAGGTGTTGCTTCTTTATTACCAAAGGCCATTTCGTCGAAACGTGTGAACAAACTTTGCTATTTTTAACTGCTGCAGATTATGACCTCAAGTTTGTACCATATTCCAAAAAGGGAAATTTTTCAAGTTGTTGAGTTAATTAACATTGATAATTAGTTAGCAGCATCACTATTTTCTGCGAAGTTTTCAATTTCGACGCTGGCGCGCTCTTTCAGTTTTCGGCCAATTGATTTTTCATGGATGTTAGAGGCGTAAAAAAACCTCCCTTCTGTTTCTGGGAAGGTCTTACTAATGGGTCTGTGAATGGAAAAATCAAGAAGTGTGCCCTCATGCGTTAAAATTACAAAAATGGAGACCCACCCCCTCTTAAAACGAACCTCCCCTCGTCACTCAAAACACCCCCTGTGCCCAATTTAAATGCAAATGTTTTCTTTAGGTCTTACTGGGCGAGCCCTTTTCCTAACCTGATTTCGAGAAAGTGTCTTAAATTCAATTTGCAATTTGAATATCCAATTATTTTTCATGTTTCACTTGGCTATAGGGCAATTGATTCGGATTGAGATCGTTTTTAAGATTCGAAGTGAATTATTTAAATTTAGAAATTGTCGGCAATGGGTTTTTGGAGTCGCCGGAAATTTGACTTTCATGTGTTTTCAGTGCTGTGAATAGCTGAAGGCAGGAGTTACAAGCGGCAACTCAACCCTTTGATCACTGGGTCCGCTAGAGATCAAAATACACCTGTGATAATCAAGATCCGAACGCCGCATTCCCCTTAGGGCTAACTGGCTCCCGTCACTCAAACGAACTAAGATCGGAGGGTTCCTTTGTTGTGTAACGGTTTCGCCGATTTATGGTTTCTTGGAAGATTGAAATTAAACCCAGAATTATAAGCCCGCCTAATTATAAAGACATGCTGTGTTGCTTATTTGTAACGATAAGCGCAATACGCGATCAAGAATGCGATAGCGGCCGCGTTCTTTGATCTATGCCCGACCGATAGCGCCGGCGTGAATGCAACTGACTTTGGGTTAAAATGGTACTATAAAATAAAGGGAAAGACTAGCTTTCATGTTTTAACCCCGCCTGTCAATGTGATCGAATAGGACCGGCCATGATTTAATTCAACAGGACAAGTTTGCATGTTATTACTCTTCGGGTATCTGTGATAGACTCGGGATTTGATATTTTGTGGAGCTAATTTTGTGTCAAATTAGAATGCGACCATTGTCTTTTATAAAGAGTAGTTTAAGATGAAAATGACAAGGTGCTTCAAGGGTAACATGTTTAAAAATTAGAAAAAACCTTAAAACATTAAAAAGTTTTGTGCAAGTTGCACAGATTGTTTGGAATGTAGCAATCCCTGCTAATATACCTCAAAAATTGAAAAGGAGTTGAGTTTTTTCTAGAAAAATTCACTTTCCAAAACTGTTTCAATTTTTTAAAAAAATTTCTGTTGACTGCTTGAAAAGGCATAGTTTAAAAAACTGAAATGCGTTAAAATTAGTTTAACGCTAGATAAAAGAGAATCCTTGAGGGGGGGGGGATGGGGGTGGTCAGACTGAAAATTTTTGTGCCGATAGTTATATATTAGTTCAATGACGTGTGGCATCAAAACAGAATTTTCTTGTATGCTCGAATGATTTTAGCTCTATGTGTGTTGCCTGTCTTCTCAAATTGTCAGCATTAGGTTTATTTTACTTCTTTTTTTCAGATAGTTGTGATTGATTGTTTATCGGTTGGTTGCCTTAGAAATGGAATCAGACGACGATTTGGTCCGAGATGAATTCTTTTCAACTCTCAATGCGCACAACGAAGAAGAATCAAAACAAGACTTTGCTTCAAGTTTTCTGGACGGATTCCAACAGCAAGGTCACGAAATCCACAAGCGAAGCACAGTAAAACCCTCTAAAAATCCAACTCACGACAAAAAGTATTCAGGCAGGCAAACGACTAGAAGAAAAATTGGACAAGAAAATCATGAAACTGTAATCGAAAAGAAAATAAACAAGAAAAATGAACATTTTGGCGAAGAATTTTCCGATTACGACTCGGAAAATTTTGAAGAACTAGAAAATTACGAACAACTTGAAGATGGCAATATCGAAGACGATGACAGTGAAGATGATTTTAATGACTCAGCTGATAAAGATATGAGTCATAGGCCACACAAGAAACGAAAAGTGGAAGTAGATTCAGCTAACAGCGATGACGCAGAGTCCGATTCGGAATCATTAAATGATGATCAAAATGAAGATGACGAATTAGACGAAGAAGAAGATGAAAGCGATGATGAAAATGATTCCGAAGGAGGTTCCGATGATTGGGTAGATCTCGAGAATGTCGATGATGAACCGAAAAGTAAAAGAAACAAAATCGATAAGTCGTTAAAGAACAGTTCAAAATCAAAACAACCAACATCTGAAATTTCGTTTTTCACCGATTCCTTTGGAAAAAAGAAAGATACCAACAACGTCGCAGACTCACAGCGAGGCCTGGCTTTGAAGAAACAGTTGACTCTATGGGAAAAATACTTTCAACTTCGTGTTTTGTTACAATCATCATTGCAAGCAGCAAATGAAATTCGGCCAGCATCTATCGAAAAAATTTCAAAGGACAATGAAAATTATTGCGAGCTTATGAAGAATTTGGATTACGTACTTGAAAAGTTTTTGACAATTGCTGAAAAATCTTTTGATTCATTAGAATTGAAAACTGAATTAGAGCTGGACAGTTCATCAAGTTTCGAAGAGCGAATCGAACGTTTGAGTAAAACTTTAATAAACGAAGGTCCTAATTTGATGCAGTTTTGGAACGATAAAATTATGTTATCAATGGGAAAACACACTCAAAGATCAAGCTCTTTTTCGGGTACTAATAAAAATGCAATGACTGCACAAATAGAAGGAGTTTTAGCCGACAGGTCACGACTGCTAAAACGAACGAGAACGAAACGAGTGGAATACAGCAGTTCGGTTCCCGACGAAGAAATACCGGACGATGAAATTTATGACGAGTACGATTTCTATCAGAACCTGGTCAAAGACCTCATCAGTAGTCGATCCTCTGCTACCAATCAATATCTAAACCAGCAACAAAATAGCAACTTGAAACTGAAAAATGTAAAATCTATTACGACACAGCTTGTAAGAAAACACAAAGCCATTGTGTTTGATATACACGCCAAGTTGGTAGGCTTTACAGCGCCAAAGCCCTCGGCGGAAGATTGGAGAGATGATGCTATAGATTCTTTGAGTTTATCTATTTTTGGCAATTAAATATCGCGTAAAAGTTTTTGATGTTGTCTGAAAATTTTTGATATAGAGTACAAAATTTCATTCCGTGAAATAGAGTACAAAAATTCATTCCGAAGTTTTTGGCGTGTTTGTTATTTCGATTTTTAAATGCTGCTTTTTGTTTTCCGTAGATGCTTTCTTCAGAAGTCTGCCATAGTTTTGTAACCGCCGCAAGTCTGTTTTAAATTTTTTTTTAATTTTGAGAGCTTCGATTTTTTTCATTCATCTTCTAAACATGCGAGCTTGCGTGTGTGAGGTTATTTGAGTAGTCCACTTTTCAAAGTGGCTCATTGAAGTAAAAACATGTTCTCGCTAAATCTTTAGGTAACTCAAAAAAGTGTCAATCAAAAAATATTCGTGAAATTCGTTCAGCGTTTAGGTAGTATATTTTTTCTTTGAAACACGAACAAAAACTTCTCGGATTGTCTGTTGGCTATGTTCGTTAATTTTCAACCGCTTGGCCAGGACAAAAAAAGTTTGAAAGAACGAAGATTGCTTTTTATTCTGCCAAAAACTCAAATTTGGCTGCGACACCAAACGTCGAATGACGATCAAATAATTGAGTTTTTAATTTAACTTTAATTTTTGTTTTTGTCTGTTATAAACCATTTGAGTAGCTCTTGTGTGCTAAATGTCCTGAAAATTGACTCATTTTTACGCTTGCGGTAAGCCAGAGTGTTGCAACCGGGTACTAGTCTTTTTTCCGTAAACAAATTTGTTGAAAAGATTTCGCAGATATTTCATCTTTATATTAAATTCAAAATCAAGCAAGGACCCAGCACATATGGCGAAGAGGTAACACACCTGCTTGAGACGACAAATGCTTCAGGTTTGAGCCCGGCCGGGATTTGTTTTTCGAAATTTTCTGCCTTTTTGGGACTAAACCCAATTGTTTATTTTTTTCCGCTCACTTTCCTTAGCACCGAGTTTTTTTTGAGTGTTCAGCTTTCTTCTTAATTCCTGAATGCCATTTCTAATGTCCCATTGACAAAGGTCATTGAGTTACAAGATTTTTTGCGGAATTTTATTTTTAAAAACTGTTTATTCTTGTGATCAGCCTCACTCACAAATAAAAGAGTTCATTAAAAGTGTTCATTTATTTGATGGCATTTTTGCTATAACCACGATCTGTAGCTGTGGAAATTTCATAGCATCTGTTCTAAGCTTTATTTGTGGCTAGTGTTTGTTAATTATTAAGCGTCCGTGGCTGAGTTGTTAGTGCGTGAGACTCATTATATGTAGGTCGCAGATCGAATCCGAGACGTTAGCGGAGTTTTTACTAATTCGAGACTGAATTCTACTTTTTCTTTTTGCTTTTTTATAAAACTGCTTATTGTCGTGTTCTCGCTAGTGAATGCGAAGCGAAGCTTTGCGCTTGTTAGATTTTTTTGCTTCGCTCATTAATGTGAATTATTACGTTTGCCATAATTGTACTCGCGATTAGCAAGCGTTATCAGTTTGGAACTTCGACCGATTCTTGTAAACATTTTGTTGAACAATATCATTGAATGATTTTTCTCAAATTTGCACATTCGTCAACCAACAAACATATTTTGATGTCGAAATTGAAGACATATTTGAGCCTTTTTGCATTTGAAAATCCCTTTCTAATCAACATATTATTTCAATTCTTGTTTTTAATATTACCAACTCCGTTTCGATATTCTTTTTTCCTCGTTTTTCTTTAATACTCGGCTTAAAAGTCTTTCGGTTTATACTTAATCGGCATAGTGCCATCATATGGCATTGATGAAGAAGAGAAACAAGAAATTTACGCGTGTTAGTCTTTTGAGGCAGCGATTGGATGGATTGTTTCGAAAGTTTTTGATTTGTTTAGGAAAACGTTTTTTTGGCTCAACGTTGTCTGCTCAAAATGTGTCGGCATGAATACAGTTTGGTTTTTATGCAAATGTAGCTTGGAATTTTTTTATTTGTCATGTTTTTGTTCTCAAAATAGATCTTTAAGACAAAGATTTTAAAATTTACCATTAAAACGGAAGCCGTGGTTCGATGCTCGTATTCTTAGCAGCTCATTTTCAAGTTTAGTTCAGACTCATATATAGGTCGCCAGGGGCGGATCTAGGATTTTATCGAGGGAGAGGGGCAGCTTTTAAAAAAATATCGAAAGTTTTGTCGACTTTGTTTTTTAGTTTGACCAAATTGATTTTCTGAGCTCTCCCAAATCACTTCAAAGACCCTAGTTTTGACAAAAATTTTCTGCACCGCAGCCAAACTTTTGAACAAACAGGCAAAAAGGCGTTTTTTGGCACTTTTTGGAAAATGTTGAACAAAAAATCGCGTTTTTTCGGCGCGAGCTCCCCCTCAAAATTAGTATATGTTGGTGCCAATTTTTAGGGTCAGTCAGCCAAAAATGGATATCTCAAAATAGTACTAAGGGGGAGGGGATCCTTTGGGTCAGCAGGGGGTCGAATCCCTGAGGGGAGAAGGCGTCCGACCCCCGCCCACTACCCTAAATCCGCCCCTGTATGTTTCGATGATACTTTTTTTTCGAGGAAAAGTCTTGTTCAGTCTCAAACTTAATTTGTCGCGGTTTTTCCCCTTTTTTTTCAGATGTCTAAGTGGAAAGCTTGAAAATAGGATTAGAAATTACAATTTGGGCAAGTTCATTCATGGTGGCTGACTTTTAATAGGTTGTTTGTGAACGCTCCCTGACATTGACTTAATCAACTCATCTTCATGTTGATGTTTGCGGAGAGGAGACTTGAAAACATTGCAAAACGATTGTTTACTTAAACAAAAAGTTAGTGAAATTGGGTAGTTTTGGTATCAAAGTCGAGATTATTTGGGTCGGCATCTGTCTCCATTGCGATATCTTCTGATTCTCTTTTCTTTGTTTGGGAGAATTTTTTTATTCATTGTTTGAAGAGTTTAGCGGCATCGCGTTTTCTAAGCTGCAGAAAGACTTTCTTCGTGGTAACGTCTATGCATGTCGCCGCTAGTTTTGGTTTTCGCATTGTTTGTGCATATTTCCATTACAACGTAATCGGGAACGTAATCGGCAATTTTAACAACTACGATTTTGTATAATTTCAGCTTTTTCTAATTATTCGAATGAAATGCGTTCCGCTGTTTTTTTAGGGGTTTAGTAGTCTCATTTTGCGTCGTTTGAGGAGCAAAACAAATTTATTTTGCGTTTGAGTCTTGAAATTTTTTGGTTTCAAAAACGTTTTTTTTTTTCGGTTCAAAGGGTGTCTGCTCAAATTGTTTCTTTTACCGCGTCGTAATTTTAGTGACAATGCTAACCTAATATTCAGTTGCATTTAACGGCAAGTTTTTTTGAAGTCTAACAATTTTTAAGGAAATTCAAGGCAAATATCATGATTTTGATGGATCTAGGTTTTCTCTCGCGGTTTAAATCCCGCAGGATAAATGCTCTCCGAATATAATCTCCGAAGACTAAATCGTGATCGGCGAAATCTTCTAGAACAAACTGGAAATCATAAATTGAGTAAGATTGAAGTGGACTCATAAGAAAAAAAATCATTTAAAAAATAAATCAAAAAGATTGACTATCAGCGATAGCTTTCAAAAAATCGATCTCCTTTTGAATGGCCGCTGAACATACTATGCATTTTATAAGACCAATTTTTTCCTTCGTCACTTGAATTTTCTTTCCCAACTCACACTGCGATAAAGTATACGTCTGCAAAAGTTGTTGTCGTTAAATAGCTCCGAAAAACTTCCAGATATCTAAGTTTGACATAAGCAACATGCGCTCAAATCTACGGTGAATACTTGGAGAGCAATGTCAATTCTCGGTAAATTGAAATTGATTGAAAATATATTTTCCATTTTGTCCAAATTGGCCTTCCTGATTTACGCATTGTATCATTTTTTCGACAACACTTTTCTCGAAGTAGTTTTTGCTATTTGGATCTGATAGCTCTGGGTCGTCACGCAATCGCTGTGTAAATGCCAGTAGAGGCATCTGTAGAATTCGAGGGGTTTTCTAAAGATGGCTCTCAAAGAGCGAAACTTCCCTTATTTTCGGTTTCCGGGAGGTTGTCTCACACAGAGTTTTCCGTGCCGTTTCAAAATCCATCATTGCAGAAACTGGCACCTCAGCGTTTTTTTTAAAGATTTGACCATAGTGCATTGTTTGTGTCCTGTAGGTTATCCTTAGAAAAAGCGTAGATTCAGGGAAATGATGTGTTGTCAGCAAAGCCATGCACTGTGTAGACTTTGTAAATGTTTTAAGGGCAGCATTTCCAAATGTCATTCAAAATGTGTGCATATACTTAGCTGGCAGCTCAAAGTCGAGATTATTTGGGTCGGCATCTGTCTCCATTGCGATATCTTCTGATTCTCTTTTCTTTGTTTGGGAGAATTTTTTTATTCATTGTTTGAAGAATTTAGCGGCATCGCGTTTTCTAAGCTGCAGAAAGACTTTCTTCGTGGTAACGTCTATGCATGTCGCCGCTAGTTTTGGTTTTCGCATTGTTTGTGCATATTTCCATTACAACGTAATCGGGAACGTAATCGGCAATTTTAACAACTACGATTTTGTATAATTTCAGCTTTTTCTAATTATTCGAATGAAATGCGTTCCGCTGTTTTTTAGGGGTTTAGTAGTCTCATTTTGCGTCGTTTGAGGAGCAAAACAAATTTATTTTGCGTTTGAGTCTTGAAATTTTTTGGTTTCAAAAACGTTTTTTTTTCGGCTCAAAGGGTGTCTGCTCAAATGGTTTCTTTTACCGCGTCGTAATTTTAGTGACAATGCTAACCTAATATTCAGTTGCATTTAACGGCAAGTTTTCTTGAAGTCTAACAATTTTTAAGGAAATTCAAGGCAAATATCATGATTTTGATGGATCTAGGTTTTCTCTCGCGGTTTAAATCCCGCAGGATAAATGCTCTCCGAATATAATCTCCGAAGACTAAATCGTGATCGGCGAAATCTTCTAGAACAAACTGGAAATCATAAATTGATTAAGATTGAAGTGGACTCAAAAGAAAAAAAAATCATTAAAAAAATAAATCAAAAAGATTGACTATCAGCGATAGCTTTCAACAAATCGATCTCC